TCAGCCATGGAAAGATCTTGAGGTTTTATATTTATAGAATACTTCTATGGAGCGGAGTATACAAATCTGTAAAAATGAGATATATACAAACATTAAATGAAGGAGTAAATATTTCATGTTAACAAGTTACATAACACGTTGCATACGCTGGCCAACAATCTCCCAGATAAAGTTGGTCATTCACTTCATAGTTGTTTGTAGGACATTGCTGTGCGCAAACTGCCTGCCGCGTTCGCCTACAAAATTTATAGTTAGTACACTTTACAGTAAATCCTGTGAAGCATTTTAAGGCATCCTCCTGACGTGAAAAGCGCTATATCAAATGCGCTTAGGATTAATTATTATTAATTCTTCATAATGCACACACTGTTTGAACACAGACACGAATAAGCACTAAAATCTTCTATATGATCAAAAATATTTAAAGGTTTCTTCTAACATGGTTTTCTTTATTGAAAATGCTTAATACCTATAGAGGGAATATTTGCCAAGTGGAAAATTCAACAGATCACTGTGTATCCTGTTTTTGGTCAGTCGGTGACTGATAAATTCGGAAACTCATCATCATGCTTAAGAGTATCCAAACCAAACCATTGCAAGTTCAAAATATGTAAGGGGATTTGTTTGTCTCGAATAGAGTGCACACTCTCCCCTCAAAGGAACTCACTGTGCTCACCTAATCTTGAAAAATATTTAGTGTAGATTGGCAAGAGCCCAGGCTTGGAGACCTCAGAATATGCACTGGGATACTGCTGGAGTTTAACTAGTTAAAACGACACAGCTTGTCATTTTGAACATTGACTAACAAAATTCTCCACTGCCTCTTCAGCTAGGATCACGCTTCCCATTAGGGCAATGACTTGCATGGTTAGTAGGAGCCAAGTGGAAAAAATCCCTAAACCCAGTAACTGGTCTGCTACTCCAATAGGTGGCCATGTGATGAGCAATTTTAATGACAATGCCCTTCATTAGTGTCAAACTCAATAAATTAAATTGGAACAAGTTTGCATCAGAACAGACGGCCGCTATTTTTATCAGGTTCCCAGAGCGAGTACAATCTCCTATCTGTACATCAGTAAACACAAAACAGATGTAAATCACAAACATTTTACAGAACACTGTTGAAAATCAACCAACAAGAATATCATGGTGGTTCCATGAGCATCATAGAGGAGATGCAGGAATAACATTTCCATGACATAAACAATGATCGTCTGAAATCAACTGTTTATTTTTCCAAAATATATCTACCGCCATCTGTTTTTACAATACAACCTTTATCAACTGGATGGGAATACTTGATGAAACCTGAAAACTTCCCGTCTGCGATTTCCACACATGGAAGAATACATAAAATTAACCTTTTAAAAATAGCACAAAACCAGAATGACTGGGGTTCTATTTCAAAATGTCTTTCTTGCATCAAATATTTTTCCTACATCTGTTTTTCAGGTTAAAGTCTATTCCCTAATTCTTACTGCCCATATTTTTCAAGTCAAGTCAAAGATGAGTGGGTGTGGGGTGAGGGGGTTGAGTAAATGCAGAGAAGACAGAAGGAGCATCCTAATACAAAGGAGGAGAACGAAAAGCCCACAAAATAGACAAACAGCATAGCACGAAGGAGAGTAAAGACAATAAGACCATAGCACCTGGCAATTGTGGTTGAGCTCGCGTCAGGTCATAGAAGTAGCCTCTGGGATCTCCCTCTGAAATTTAATTTCCAGAAGGACAATTGCATTCCATGAATCCATTTAATGTCCAGTAATCTGGTACTGTCAGTTTTGAGTAAGAAGAACTCAGCATGCTCAACGCACAGGAAGTGACATCGGTGGTAACCTGATTTGGTTTTGAATCACCATCTTTCTGCGCACATCCAAATTGTGATTTTATGAACCACAACTATTGCATTATAATGGGGCTCCAAGAATAGGGCAAAACTACATACAATAATGTCGCAAAATAGATGTGCATTTACAGATCCACCAAATAAACAAACATATTCAGCTATATCAATCACAGTAATGGATTACTATGCTTTTGGATTCATTCAACAACATTTCTCTCAGGTACACATCATGCTCTTTGACTGCAAAGATTATTGTGGGGATAAGAAGTGGTCCATGTATTTTACTCTCACATAAAAGTTAAAATTGAAAAACATTTCTTCATTGCAGATGACACCAAGTTAATGGTAGATTGCAAAGCTGAACAAGATAGGTTACAGGAGGATTTGAACATAGTTAGGAATTGGGCAGACCGGTGCCAGATGAAATTCAACATAGATAAATGTAAAGTACTTCACATGGGGACAAAAAATCCAGGAAGGGACTATTAATTGAACGGAAGGAAAATAATATGTTTGGGAAATGAAAAGGACTTGGGGGTCCTGATGGACAATAAATTGAACCTCTCGCAACAATGCTGTGGCAGTGAGTGAAGCAAACCAGATGTTGGGATGTATCAAAACATCAATAGCAAGCCAAAATAGTGGGGTAATCCTGCCACTATATAAATCATTGGTGAGATATACAGTTGTGTACAGTTCTGGTTGTCGCAGTACAAAAAGGATATGGGAGAAATCGAGAGGATACAGAGGAGGGCAACCAGAACGATTGAGGGAATGGAGGGACTGGACTATGAGGAGCGACTAAATAAATTGGGCATGTTCACGCTGGAAAGAGAAGATTGAGAGGAGGTATGATTGCTGGGTTTAAGATTCTGAAGGGGTGAGACAATGTAGATCATGACAGGCTGTTTCAACTCGTCAAGAATAGTAAAACCAGAGGACACAGCCTGCGATTTAAGGAGGGTAAATTCAGAACGAGTCTACGGAAACACTATTTCAATGAGAGAATAGTAAACCTGTAGAACAGGCTCCCTAGGGAGATGGTTGAAGCAGGAAGTGTTGATTCTTTCAAATACAAATTAGATAGTTTTATGAAATAATATTCTGGGATATCGTACATAGGTAGTTCAGGACATACGTGCATGCGACCGCCAAGAAGGTGGAAGGAGAACTGGATGGAGGTAAGTCTTTTTTTTTGTCTAGCATTTCTTGTGTTCTCATGTTCATGCAGAAATCTCACTTTTTGGTAGTAAAAAGATATCCTGTTGAAATGACCTCTCCCCCCATTCCCATTTCAGATCTTCCAGCCAGAGGAATAGTGCTCCACTGATGCACATAAAGAGTCAGTATTTCTTGTTTTGCGCAGAGCAAATGCATCCTTCCCAATGCTCCAACTGTATTAAAAAATTCAAGATCCACTGAGTATTTGCCTCTGTTCTCGCACGTTTTTGAAGAACTACTTACAGGATAAAAAAAAACTGTGAGAAATGCACAGGAAAGCTAGTGGCACACAAATCATTTGAGGCACCAGGGGTCAACTGTATAAATTGTCATCTGACCTGGAACTGAATTATTTCAGTTTGAAGCACAAAAACTTGCAAATAAACTTGGAACCAGTAATATTGGATGCAAGGTGCAAGCAGAAATGGTATGTATGCAAGGCAAAATATGCAACAAAAATGAAGCCAACTCCCATCAATTATTTTTAATATTTATGTATATGCATAGGTGAGGAAATGCTATGTACTGGAAGAATTCCCTTCCCTCTCCATCAGCAAATTCCCTTTACAGATTAGATAAATAAGGAATAATTTAGGGTGTAATTACTTACGCTCCCTACATCAAAAGTCCTTTCAAAATAACAGCACAACAACGATTGTTGCCAGACCAATATTTCTTTTAAAAGCAGTTGAGTGGTTCCATTCAGTGAAAAGAAAGAAAATCATAGAAATTACAGCCCACAAGGAGGCTATTTGGCCTATTGAGTCTGTGCTATTTTGCCTTTAAAGCTGCAGAGCGTTTTGAAATCATCAGACCAATTAGTAGGTAGAAAATAAAGATCACAATCCTTGATTTCTAATAGTTATTGCTATCTTGCATTATGTAAAAGTGATATATTGTACTCCCAGGCCATAAGCCATCAATTAGTTCCAAAAGCATTATTAAATCTTCAATTTCAGCTTCATCACACAAATCTCTGGGTTATTTTATTTGGACCCAAATAGTATATTGTTATTTGCATACTTCTTCGAATAATGTCTGCACAGAAATTCCATCAGGTTGGCTCTCGTTATCTCTTGAAGGTTTATATTGGTTTCTATGAGAAATGATTCCTCAATACACCCCATGCTACATGTCATGAATATTTTATCAGAAGTGCTTTTCTTGAGATTAGATCAAAGCATCTGGATTTTGCTGAGCTGTTTAATATAAACATTCTCTGAACCATGTTAATCTTAATGTATTTTTTAAAATTTGCATGTGGAATTTTATATCATGTGATATGACCTTGTTAACAGTTCTCCAGATAAAATTAAGCTTTACTTCATAGCTGTTGTGGGACTGTGCTGTGGTGCACACTGACTGCCTCGTGTGTGTACACAATCATTATACTTGACAGCAATTATTTGGAAAATGCTTTGAGCCATTTCAAGGTTACAGCCACTGTATCAAGTGCAAGAATTATTTCATTGTTACCACTTTTCCCCTAGCATATTTAAATACAGATTTCACAACGGAGGCTCTGTTTTTTGGTCTCTACCATCCCTCTAACCTCTCCCTTAAAATTCTCATCATATAGCAACCTCCCAAACCTCCCAATCAGTGGGTTTCTTGTCAAAATCTTCTCCTTCCTATTTTTTATGACCTTCTGAACTGAGCGCCCCATCATGGCCAACTTCAACCTCCACTTCACCTTGTTTCTTCAATCTCCACCCTCCTCTCCACCCTCCATATAAGTTCCCCTAACATCTTCTAAAAATCCCTCTGCCTCGTTCCTTCCTCTCTGCTTTCAAAACCTGCCCTGAAGACCCATCTCTTTGATTGTGTTTTCAACCACCCCCAAAAGCTCAGGCTTCTAGTCAGTCTCTGCAAAGTGAATTGGAGGCATTCTCCCTGTGTGAAAAGTGGTATTTGTGTGAACTGTTGTTCTTACCTCTAAATGCATGGATGTCGCCGTAGTGGACCTGAAGCACAATGTAGTTTATTCCAGAGTTTCCGCCAACTCTAAATCCAACTCCTGGAAAAGGAATAAGATGAAATACACATCTGGTTAGTTCAGTTACTGGTTAATGATTGCAGAAATGTGTCCTGCAGGGTACACACTTGCAATGAAAACTAATTGAAATCTAGGCACAAATAGTTAATCTAAAATATTTAGGTCTTGATTTAAAGAACGCACATGCATTTTGATGACAATTGTTCTACTCAGCATTGTCAGCCTTATCCTAGGTCTACAGAGAAGGTGTGATTGGTATAGGCAGGCCTCACCTCACCACACCACACCGCAAATCCATTCCATAGCAGTCATCATTCAACCAAGGCGAACCCAACCATTACATTTTTTCCTCTCGTCTTCTCCTCCCCAATCCTCCTCCCCCACTCCTTCAATCTTAGAAATAGGCAAAACTAAACAGGCTGAAGTGGGATTCAAGCTGGCGATTTCCAAATTGGGAAGCAAGCCTTCTGTCAAGCATTCCAAGAATCTATCTCTGGAATTTCCATGTGTAAGTGGGATGCATGGAATTCTCAGTTTGATTTGGATACTCTTAAGCATGTTGATGGTTTTCCGCATGTGTCAGACACCCACCTGACCAAAATTAGATGCTATGCTGCTCCTAAAAAGAATGATTTCTAAATACAGGACACACCTCACATGTTGTTCAGTAAAACTGATTGGTCTAATTTGTGGCAATTTATAATGCAATTCTATTCCCGTTGACCCAAGGGAACTCCACTTTAGATGTAGATCATGTTGAAATTGAATTCCCATGTGTAGACATCACGCAGTTACCAAGAACTCTTACCTGAATTCCTTATTTTGGAATCATATTAAGAAGTACAACAAATTAGACCCCAATATCATAAAAGATCTAAATGTCATAGTGAAACTGCTAACCAGCTTACCAGCTGACACAGTATTTGATTCAACTTGTCTATCTGCACTGTGCAAATAATTCGCCATAAATCCTCAACCCTTTTCGATTCATACCTTGTCCTACAGCATATCATCTGCAATCCACACTGACAGCCTATCACTGCAATTTCATTCTTTTGCACTGACAAGCTTCCTCACCTTCAGTCTAGTGACCTGTGAAAACCCACGAATATTGAATCCAGGGAGAGATGATTGACATGAAACACTTGATTCTCTTATCTTACAGAAGTCACATTCTTAACAGCACTAATCAACAACATAACAAGGAAGGATTTGGACACCCAGCCTACTTATACAATCTAACCTTGCCCTATATTCCAGCACACATTCTATGTTCTTCTGACTCTGGTCCACAACTTGCTCTCTACTCCCTTCACTTCATCTCTCCCACTGTGCACTTTGGTCAGTATTTTTTATATCTCTCATTTCCGTGCTCAGTGTACATGACTACATTTGTCAAGGGCTTCAAGATATTGTGTCGTAATAGCTTATTAATTCACGTGATTAAATAATCACATGCACTTGATCAAGTTGTTGTTGCTGTGTGAAAATGTGTGAAAACTAAGCATGTAAAAAAAATGGCACTGACGTTTCACCGATGAGTACTTTCATTCATCCATTTCATAATCTTGTAATATTTTGTAGTCATTTATTTTGATAAATCTTTTGATGTTATACAAGTAATATTACAATACTACATTTTATATGGTGAACTCTTGAAATAGGTTTGAAAAGAACATTGACAATGTAAATTATAATAATTGCATGATTGTACGTGACTGTCAGAAACCAGTCAGAGGTACTACATCTGAAAATGTATTATAATATAAATACAAATGTCGGTAGGCTGAGATGGTAGGATTCTTGCTTCTGAGTCAGAAGGTTGTAGGTTCAAGCCCCACGTTGGAAACAATGAAGGCCTACACTGCAATATAGTGAAGGGAGTGAGAAGGGAGAGTTGCATTGTTGGAGGTAGCATCATTCGGTTCAAATGTTAACCCGAGGACCCATCTGCCTTTTAGGCGGTGATTAGATTCTAAAGCCTAATTCAGAAAGAGAAAGGAGTTTATCCCAGTGTCCTGGCTAACAATCCCCCAAATAAAACTGGTCATTCACTTCATGACTGTTTGTGGGACATTACTGTGTGCAAATTGGCTGCTATATTGCCTAGAAACTGGTTAATCATTACCATTTACAGTAACTACATTTTATAGAAGTGCTTCAAGGCATCCTCTTGATATGAAAGGCAAGGAGTAGTATTGTTATTTCACAGTAATATTCTGTGAAAAGCTTTGAGACCCTGACAATGATAAAGCACTATATTAAATGCAAAGATTATTATTTTCTGATACAAGCAATGTTTTCTTAAAAAAATGTTTTTCTCCCTTTATGTCGCAAGATTTTATACAATCCTTCTGTTCCTATTATAATTAGTTGAATCCATTATTTCTAACAGGACTTAAACAAATACATCTTTCAGCAACTGTATTATGTTGGTGAAAAACAGACATAGGAGGAACACTGGTAAATCATCCTCAAACACTGATGTTATAGAAAACAATCAATTTCACCACAAAGACTTGAGTTGTGTAAATATTTGTCAACTAATAGGACTTAGGTATTAAATCTTTAAATACATATTAGTACCATGTTAAGTGCAAAACTTGTTTGTGTTCTTTTCAAATGTGCATTCTATGGCAACATTACGTATTGATGTATTCCCGGCAGGCTGCAAAGTTGATGTGATGTTTGTGGCTAAAGGTCATAATCATTCAGAAAAGTGGGTAGCATACAAAAGCATGACGTATTTAAGAGGAAACTTAATGTATACATAATGAAGGGAATAGATCGGCATGGGAGAGGGCATCAGGAGGGGTGGAGGCACTTAGGTTTGGGGTCAAATGATTCCGTTTCAGCGCTTTAATAATAATAATCCTTGCATTTGATATAGTGCTTTTCATGTTTTCTAGACATCTCAAAGCACTTCACAGAAAAGACTGTAATGTGAATTGACTGTATATTGGTGGGCAAAACGCAGCAGCCAATTGCGCACAGCAGTGTTCCACAAACATTCATGGAATGAAGTGACCAATTTATTATTGGGTTTTTTTCTTGAGGGATTATTATCAGGTGTGTGGAGTAAGGAAACTTGCCCAAGGTTTCACCCTGCTGGGAATCAAACCCAGGTCTCTCGCGCAAAGTGAGTGCTCAATCCACTGAGCTACAAGACTCCACGCTATTGTAGTGCCGGGGGTGTACAGCATTGTCAGAGGTGCCATCCTTCAGTTGAGATCCTGTCTGCTTGTTCAGGTGGACGTTATTAAAGATACATAGCACTATTCAAAAAAGGCAGTTTCTTGTCCTGGACAACAATCCCCCAATAAAATTGGCCAGTGCATTTCACAGTAAATGCATTGAAATGCTGTACACTGTCCAGCGCCTTGGAACGTCCTCCCGACATGAAAGGCGCTATACAAGTGTAATCTTGTTGTTTTTGTTGTAATTCCTGTGAAGCACTGTGAGACATTTTGACAACAGGCAAGGATTACTATTTTTATATCAATTTCAACTAGCAAACTATTCTAGGGCATTATTCCTCTTCTTTGAGATGTCAACAATGTGATAAGGCACTATATCAAATGGAAGGTTTATTATTACTATAATATATACAATAATTTTAAAAAATCAATGATCAGAGGGCATCACTTCTACATTTGCTTAAAATCTAACGATGAGTTTTTAAACTTACTGATAGCATTTATCTAGAATACACATACGCAGGCAGAGTTTCTGCTCATTCTGAAATAAATCAAGTCAAAGGTGGTTGAAAAAAATTGTTTAAAAAAAAATTAGGAATTTAAAGGAAAACACAAAATTCTTGACACTGATGTAGTGTCAATAATTTACAATGTATCTAAGTTTAATACTAGCCAAGCTACTGAAACAGAATTCCCTCTGTGACAAGGGGTTTTAACAAGCACACAAACACATAGCAAGATATTTAAAAGCCAAAGGTGACTTATGATTGACTGAACACTACATTCAATATATTGCAGTGATATGGCTGTATTGTAATGGAATATTAGTTATTATTCTATGCAAGTAATGCAATTCAAACCTTCCCAACAACTGTGATTTGTTTATTGCAAATAAAGAATGTTTTGTTGCTTATTTACATGAAGAAAATGTTTTAACTACCTTTAAATAAGTCATAATCTTTGGTAATTTGGCAACTTTAATGATTTCTATGCCAACCTATGCACACTTCCTTTAGAAAATAGTAAATAAAAATAGTACAGTAGTCAGCCATCTATTTTCTTTCCCATTGTGAGCATCGACTGCACCATTCCCTGACCAAGAGGATGGGTAGGTAAATGGACAATCTATTCCTCAGTCTCCCTCACTGTCATTGTTCAGGTAGTTCCTATGAAGTTCGCGACAGGAGCTGAGGTTGCTCATCTTCATACTTACCTTCCCTTTCTCTGATGCAAGGATTTGGGTGGATAGAATTATTTGCACCTGAAATCCTTCAATTTTTTTTATTATTGAGGTGATAAGATCCCCTTTGAATTTCAAGATTGAAAAGCCGTAGCTTATCTTGTAAATTCTCCCTAGTTCATCCCTATAACACTGGGGATCAGCAACATTTCTCCACTGTGCTGCCTCTTAGAGCCTGGGCAAGCTCTTTATGTCATAGCAACCAGGTTCCAGAGTACTGCACAGCTTAAGCATATGCTGCTCATAGGAAGTGACATTGGTGGCAACCTGATAGCCCAGAAATCACCCATTTCTTTGCTAGCGGAGCATTGACCACCGTTTTAAAGCAAGCCTGCTGGTCCTCTGCCCCCATTTTGGATTTTTTGTTGAGTAAATGTCGGGGGGTGGTTGACACCATAGCATGTTACACTAAGATTCTATTCTGTTGTATTTGTGTTTTTGAAACAATCTCAATAATTTGGTTGAAAAGTAATTAATTATTGTCACTGGCCAGCCTTTCAAAGTTTTAACATTAAGCAAACAGAAATTAATTAAGCAATTTTATTTAATGTAAATACAATTAAGCAATTTAAAGTATACGAAAGATCAAAATCCCTTCCAAATATCAATGTATTCTTCCTTGTTGGATAAGAGCATCGACATAGCATCTGAAAGAAAACTTTCGATAGAAATTGCTGAACAGCTTCAATTATTCACACATCCTTTAAAATTTTGATGACCAATTTTGTGAAAGGCTGAGGCTGATGTCTTTGTAGTAAGAAATGAGAAGCGACTGCACACAGGCACCAAACGAATCCCTGAGGCATACGGCTTTCTGATTTAGGAATGGTAAACCCTGGAAGAGCCTCACTGGCTTTTTAAAGATTTTACAGTTATTAAAAATAATGGGATTATCCATTGCAAAAATAGATGAAGAATGAACTATTTACATATTCACCATGATCTGCTGCAAATAGCATTTACCCATTTACAATTTCAGTTCAGACAGAACGAGATAGAATCAATCAAATTAACTGCAGCAAGAGCCAACTTAATCACTGGTTTAATTGAATGCTTTGAAGGTCTACCTCAAATAATAAAAAAAATCTGCATTTGATAATAGTACTTTTCACATTGGGAGGGAGTATCAAAGCTCTTCACAGTATTTACTGTAAAGTGTGGTGACTGTGTTTTGCAGGCAAAAAAACAAATAGGACAACCGATTACACTCTTCCAAAAGAGGACTAAGATATTCTTCATCATAAATGTAATGAATTTATGTATCCAGAGGCTAATCAGCTGGAAAAGGTTACCAAGAAAGCTGGCTGAGGCTAGGACATTAAACTAATTTAACAGAAAGCCTGCTGCTGGAAAATGAAGATAATAGGGAAGGTATCTGAAAGGATTAAATCAAATGAACCGAAGGGTATCCCTCTTGGGGGTCTTGTGAACTCTTGTGACCTAGAAACTGAAGTATCCATCATCACAAAAAGGCTGTTATAACACAGGGGTATGGATCCTTAACATCAAACCTCAAGATAAAAGTGTCGGCCTGACTCAGTTAACTAAATAATAAAGTAATGATATGTCACTATTTGAAAAGAGAAGGGAGTTTCTCCTGGTCTCGTGGCCAACAATCCTCTAAATACAATTGTTCATTTACTTCACAGCTGTTTGAGGGACATTGCTGTGCGCAAATTGGCCCCCTCTGCCATGGTGAGCAAGCCTTCAGCCTCGCCTTGAAAAATCTCCTGAACAACAAGAACAACAAAATTGCATTTAGAGAGCGCCTTTCACGTCGGGAGTATGTCCCAAGGCGCTGGACAATCAGGGGTAAGGACCCGAGCATGGGGAAGAGGTGGGGTAGGGGTGAGGGAAGGCAGAGAGGTGGGAGGGCGACTGAAGGCACGATCGAAGAGGATGGTCTTGAGACCGGCCTTGAAGGAGGCAAGGGAGGAAGCGAGGTGAAGGGACTATGGGATGGAGTTACAGAGTATGGGGGCAGAGAGGCTGAAAGCCCGGCCACCGATGGTAGGGCAGGTCAGGTGGGAGACATGGAGCAGGCCGGAGCCCGCTGAACGGAGGGAGTGGGCAGGTTGGTAGGGAGTCAGCAGGTCAGAGAGGTAGGAGAGGGCAAGGCCATGGATGAACTTGAAAGTGAGGATGAGGATCTTGAATTCGATCCTCTGGAGGATGGGGAGCCAGTGGAGTAGCGAGTGTGGGATTGATGGAGTCACGGAGCCTGGTGTGCAAGAGTACACGAGCTGCAGAGCTTTGGATGATCTGCAGCCTGTGAAGGGAAAAGTAGGGAAGGCCGATGAGGAGGGAGTTTCCATAATCGAGCCTTGATGTGATGAATGAGTGGGTGAGGGTTTCAGCAGCCTAATGGGTGAGGCAGTGGCAGAGTCTGGCAATGTTGGTGGTGGCAGGCAGTGTCGGTCATGGCTTGAATGTGGGGAAGAAAGGACAGTTCAGGGTCAAACAAGACACCCAGGTTCCTGACTGGCTTAGTGCAGTCTGAAATCCCTCTGCCTCACTCATTTTCAACTGCAAATTCACAGTCAATGCACTTTACAATAAATCCTGTGAAGCGCTTTGAGACATGCTCCTAACATGAAAGGCGCTATACAAAATGTAAGGGTTATGATTAGTAGTATTATTCTCTCTGCTTTTAAATCCCACCTGAAGATTTACTTCTTAGGCTGCATTTTTGGTCATCCACCTCCACCCTTTTCCCCAACTCAGGCTGCCACTCAGTCTGTAAAGCGCATTGAAACATTATCCCAATTTGAAAGGAGCTACATAACTATAACTTTTTGTTGCTGAACTGGGTGTGTTAAGCGCTCCGGACGCAACCTCGCATGAAGGTCTCTATAGAAATGCAAGTTGTTGTTGTGTGGCACCAGAAAAGTGAATGAGTACCTAAGTTCCCAGCGTGCCCACTGATGCCACAAAGCATAGACCACTGTTAAAACGACAACGAGAAATAGAATGAAAACAAGCTACTAATTACGGGCTAAGTTTTTTTAAAAACTTTTCCCCCTTCCTACGAGAGTCTCAGAAGGAAAAGACATTCCCTATAATTTTACTTATCTTACCCTCCCCCCCACCTCCCCATTCAAAAGGGTGTATGGAGTTGTACAGATTAAAATAGCTTTTTGCCCAAGCAAATTGTTTTACATTAAATTGAATAGCCTTAAACAACTCTAGCAACAAGTGTCCAACCGCTCTAATAAATGTACATGAATATTAACACATTTGTCCTATGTGACTCAACAATACGAAGAGGAACTCTCATTGATACAACTTCAATGGCTTCCTCTGCTGCCTGCTTGCTGATTTAAAGTACCACAAAGGAGTAACTAAATTCAACAGTACAAGTGTGTTTAATTGATATGAGTGGATCCATGCATTAACCCATTCCAGTGACCTTATTTCAGCAATATGTTAATTCTGCACTCCACACTGGTTTGGCTCAGTTCCTTAAATGCAGTCATAAGTACTTCCAGTTGAACACAAAATAGAAATAACATACAATTCTCTTTAAACAATTTATACATTTGAAAGAGGCATTGATGGCAGGACTCCCTCTTACAAACTGTTTGGCTCGATAAACGTGTATATCCTCCGCCACCACCACATTCATAAATGCACAGCCACACACATTACTATTCAATATCATGTTTATGTGAACCAGTTTAGACCTGCATGAATTTTAATTCCTCTAGCTAACTTCAAATCAATATCCTCTCTTCATATTCGCAATGCAAACGGCTATTTACACAAATTAAATCTACAACAAAATACAATTTTCTACCACATACTTTCGTATTAAAACACCCGATACAGTAACCAAACAAAGATTCCCATTCCTATCTTTCCTGCTTTAAGAGGGATGTGGGGTCTTCAATTAGCAAGCCGTATGTTTCGCCCACAAAGTATACAGTCAATTCACTTTAAGGTATATTCTGTGAAGCGCTTTGAGATGCCTCGAAGATGCGATAAGGCGCTATATCAAATGCAAGGATTATTATTATTATTACTTTGTCTTTCAAGTAGCAGCATAGGACAATTATTGCCAGGGCTTCTCCAATATAGTCACTGCATATGACAAGCAGCCAGACTAGTCTTTTTCCTGTGTTTGCTCTCTCCAGCCCGTCATGGAAGCTAAATTACTGCAAAGCACTCCATCCCGAAGCCTAGCCAAGATAAGCCAAATTCAACACCTATGCATAAAAAGAGAAACTTCCTACCTCATACAGTACCTCTAATTTCACTATTGATTTTCATCCTCTTGGAGATTCATTGAAGATGAAGGTCATGCGTGAAATTCCCTAAAGACCTACAGATCACCACACCAACATCTACTGTCACCAGAAACAGCTTCTTGATGGAAAAAAAGAACTAAAATGATATTATTTCACTGAACTAAGCACCTATATTGCAATGCAGCCCATTTATCATTAGATTTTAGTAAGAATTGTTTTTAGTGTGTGTGGTGGGAGCAGGGGAAGAGAAGTATTTCATATTGTGAAAGTACTCTTCCCTACACAATCCATTTGCAATTCAAACTCATAAATCTCCAATTGGCAGTGCAATGATAATACCTGAAGTAACAAATCTACAACCGACTCTCAATATTTAGTGCCGCTAAATGTGAGAAAAGAATATATGGTATAAATACATACCAGCAGGTAATCTAGTTGGTGGAGCATTCCTAGCCCAGGCATACATAATTTTTGCTTCATCCAAGCAAGTTCCGTATCGATTTCCACAGGCCCTAGAAAAGAAAGAGAGATGCAATCAATATAATAGCACAATTCATGGAAGTTTGGTTACTGTATAAATTTATAAATCACCGAATTCATCACATTTATTTCATTCTATGATGAATTTGACTCAAGAACAATAAGCCTTCATTTTCAAAATAAAACTGCTTTTTTCAAGAGCTATCATGGATTTTAAAACATTAAATTATCAGAATTATGGTTCACTTTTCACTAGAATTGTTAAAAGTCAAGGGATGATCCGATTGCAATCTTCAAGATTATGAAGGGTTACGATTGTGTATCTAGTAATAGAAACGGCAGGGCAAAAATTTAAGATAAATCACATTGAAGAGGAGGTTAGACCCTGAGCTGTCCTTTCTTCCTCATATCCGCGCCACAACTGGCACCGCCTTCCATCACCTCCGAAACATCACCAGACTACGGCACTACCTCACCCCTCACGCTGCTGAAACTCTGGTCCACGCCTTTATCACCTCAAGGCTGGACTATGGGAACTCTCTCCTCGGCGGCCTTCCTGGCACCTCCCTCCACAAGCTGCAGGTCATTCAGAACTCTGCAGCTCGTGTACTGTCCCGCACCAGGCTTCGGGACCACATCACTCCCACCCTCGCTCACCTCCACTGGCTCCCCATCCCCCAGAGGATCGAATTCAAGATCCTCATCCTCACCTACAAGGCCATTAACGGCCTTGCTCCCTCCTACCTCTCTGATCTACTATCCCCCTACCTAACTGACCCAACTGTCCAGCGCCTTGGGACGTCCTCCTGACGTGAAAGGCACTCTATAAATGGAATCTTGTTGTTGTTGTATCTTGTTGTTGATGTAAGAGTCATAATTCAATGTTTTAAGCTTGAACAGAAAGTTTAAAGCAAATATATGCAATTCACAAGACAGATATCCAGTTTTACAAAACATATGCCCATTTTTACTTACGCAGTTGTCTTTTATCACTGGTTAGCAGAAATCTATTCATACTGTTTATTTCTTGACCCTTGACGCAAGCTTGCTGCTAAATCGTCTTGAAAATAATTAGTGTTGACTTCTTTTTGAATATTTATGCTCATTTTACAGCAAATATGGTCATTTTTGCCTCATCTTCTGATTTCATTTAAAATTATTCAGAAATCTTTTACTATTGTGAGCTTCATATTACAAGATGGACTTTGGTATATCTATTTGTACACAAGTAGTATGAATAATGTATTTCAGTGTAGCGTCAATACATGTGCATGTGCTGCTTATGAATTTACATGTTAAATCCTTTGTCAGTTCCATTTGATTTTCATTGCAGACATTTTGTATAACTGAGATCCGTTTCCTGCAAATTCATCATCTGATTCAAACCTTTGATGATTAAACAAATGAAAGGTACAATAGAAAATCCTATCTAAACCTTATTTCATTATACCTCAGAATACTTCAAACACTTATTTTCCAACCATTGATGTAGTAATTTATGTAAATTGGAATAAGGCTCTTCTATCAGCCTCAATTGGGAATGATTCAAACAACCTCATTCTTCAGTTTCTGATAATTTATGAATGACTACTTCAAGATTGAGAGAAGTCCAATTGATATTGAGAAGGAAAGGCATTATGGGTTCTTGAGAAAAGGTAGAGAAATAGAATCTGACACGATCTAATGAAATGGTAGAATAGGCCGGATGGGTTCAATAGTGGAGTCCTGCAGCTCAGTGGTTAGAGCACTCGCTTTGCAAGTGAGACCTGAGTTCAATTCCAGGCAGGGCGAAACCTTGGGCAAGTTTCTTTACTCCACACGCCTAATAATAATCCCTCCAAAACCAAAAACAATAATAAATTGGCCATTTTCAATCTACGACTGTTTGTGGGACATTGCTGTGCGCAATTGGCTGCCGCGTTCACCCACAAATATACAGTCAATTCACTTTACAGTGTGTTCTGTGAAGCGCTTTGGGACTTCCTCCCAACGTGAAAAGCGCTATATCAAATGCAAGGATTATTATTATTATTAATAGCCTCTTCCTGCTTATATGATCCCATGTTGTGAAAACAACAGACATACTCAGATCACTGGATACCATGGCATATCTCTAAGGCACAATTCAAGGATAAGTTAATCCTTATATTCGACCTTATATATGCTCCAGCCAAGATGGAATGAAAGGAGATTCTTCTGAAACAACTGGGTATAAGTAGAAATGTCTCACCCCACCATTTCCAATACAGCTAGTGGGAGTTTATTTAAACTCTGAAGGCTCAGCTAAAGATAGGTCTGACCTTAAGACCTTCAACGTGATTGAACTTCCAAATGTTAGAAATAGCACCTCAGTGTCAGTTCAGTGATTTACATTCTCAATACATTGAATATGACTTTTTAAAATGCGGAGAATTTCAATTTCTTTGCACAGCAAGCTTTTTCTGTCACCACACTGCTTGAGGATCTACTTTGAGTTACTAAGCTGGATCTTCAGGAAGTGAAGTTACAGTTGCGGACTTTGATGATCAGCAGAGTCTCTTTAGAGGATCACGGATGGAATTTAGAACTACAGGCTGGCATAAAAGAGAAATGTTCAAAGGTGATGAAGAAACAAATCTTTGAGCTGTTGCCATTAAAGGGAGAAAAATTGAGACTGGTAGGAGGGCATTACAAATGCATGGAAAGAAGTAAAAAGCTCATAAGTCATATTAAAAAGAGACAAGGCACACAATAAAGAAATATCTCTCCCTCCAGTCTGGTTTGTTCAAAAGAGGGGGAAAGAAATTTTAATATACATACAGCATAATATGTATGACATTTCCTGAAAATGTGAAGAGTGAAGATATTAAACATTTATATCTGTAAAATTGCAAATATAAGATAACCAGGTTGCAACTTAAACTCTGAACTTCCGATAATGTTTATAAAACAGCTCAAGTTTTCCTTTCACAGTTTATGGCATCTTGCAAAATCAATTTATTCAGGTTATAGCCTTGTAACTGACTCCAAGTTGCTATTTTTTTCCATGACATAAACAATCTACCTCAAATTTAAGCACTGATCAAACATCAAGCACTGATAAAACTTCAAGCACAAAAAACAGTTTAAAGGGTCAAAATCTAACTCCACATTTTACAAAAGCCCCAACAAATTAAAATGCCGCACATTTTACTTCAAATGGTAATGTACAGTTCACACATCAATGAAACCAGTTTTTACTACAGTCTAGTTTATTTTAAAACTATTTTGAATTATGTGCTAAATAATTACCAGTAATTATCGTTAGTGGCGGGCAGTTTGCATCCAAACAGTAACATATGATGGGCAGTATCCATGTTTGCATGAGGTTGAAAGTCAACTGCAAGATAAAAGCAAAATAAATTATATTAGCTCACCTTTTTAACACCTTTCAGCAATTATGTTACCCGGTAACCACGATCTAATCTTGGAACTGTGGAGGTGACTGGTATGTAAAAAGAATCTTGCAAAGGTCTCATAAGCAGCTATGTAAATGGCATCAGTTGCCCAGTGTCGAGATGAAACAATGCCCTGCCCAGTCTGGAAGTGACCACCAGAGAGGGGCATAGCCCTCTTTCACAGTCCATATCTCACAAAAGCATTTTATTATATTTTGTGGTATCTTCTGAATGTCCTGAATGCGATCCTAACTGAAGACTCCTCCACCACAGGTGAGGCAGAGACTTAGAGACATGGTTGAATGGCAGAGGAAGAGGCAAGAGGAGGCGCTTTTCTTTTCCTTGCACACTACTGGCCATGCCATCAGGAGTGCTGAGATTCTCCTGGCCGAGCACCTCTGGCCGGTCACTGCACCTCCCGAACAAGACTTTTATTGGCCATTCCCAAGGTTGTGTGTAATATCAGCTGGCACTCTCTCTCGAGATTGATTGGAGTGTCCAGTAAGTGCCAAATTGTCAGCTAATACCAGCCATCAATCAGCCTTTTCTGCAGGTGAGCTTCTATTGTAAAGGCTATTATTTATTTTTTCCAACTAGTAAATCTGTATCAATACCATACTTTCTAAGACAGTAAACTTTTAAAGATCTTGGCGATTTTAAAGATTTTAAAGGTCAATCCCTCGACTACCGAAGTATATAATCGTATATTGGAGTCCTGTAGCTCAGTGGTTAGAGCACTCGCTTTGCAAGTGAGAGACCGGAGTTCAATTCCAGGCAGGTCAGGGCGAAACCTTGGGCAAGTTTCCTTACTCCACACAGAGCCTAATAATAATCCCTCCAAAAACAAAAACAATAATAAATTGGTCATTTTCAATCTACGACTGGTTGTGGGACATTGCTGTGCACGATTGGCTGCCGCGTTTGCCCACAAATATACAGTCAATTCACTTTACAAGGTGTTCTGTGAAGCGCTTTGGGACGTCCTCCTGACGTGAAAAGCGCTATATCAAATGCAAGGTTATTATTATTATATTGTTTATATTGAAATTTCTTAGGAACCATATTTTCTAATATCTCTGCCTTATTTTCTGCAATGTTTAGCAGGAATCTACTTGCACGGCGTAATGTTTCTTTAATGGTCAGTAGTGTGAGTAAAGATGGGATATGATTCAGGCAGTCCCATTTACTGGTTCACTTACTTTCCGTCAGGCTCAATTCCTCTCAGTGCAGGTGTACATTAAAGCAATTTTTGTATGTAAGGTGCCATAGCTTTATATCATGGTTTTGTGACATTAATTAGCTCTTTCAAAGAGCCAACATGGACACAATGGGCCGAATGGCCTCCTTCTATGCTGTGTAATTCTATGATTCTAATGCAAACTCAAAATGCAAATGGTATGACTTTGACTCGAGAACGACTTCCTTTAAGAGTTTGAAGGTTCAAAATGACTGGAAGCAACAGTTATGATGCAACTAAAAAGTACTGGACTCATATTCTAGTCCTATCGAGATAATTCAAAAAGATTTTTATATGGTTTCTGGAATTTTTCACTCAAATCCATACACTATGGTTACTTGAATTGCTTGCACCATTGCTACCTTGTCATCTCTAAACAGCTTGAATAAACAAATTAATCATCAGCAGACAGGAAAAATCATATTGTACTCTTCACTGACTGCAAAAAGTGAAGGATTTATGGGCTTTGCTAGTTGGTAAATAAACAATCTGTTCAATGGAGCAGGATAAAGTATCCAACCTCAGACAGAAAGCCAATATAATACAAAATGGATGTTTGAGGTGTGCTGTAGCAATTTGCATACAGGACTGCAGCAGACATGCTTATGTACTTATCTTCTCTCCACCTCTCCCTCCACATCCACTCTGCTATCCACACCCACTCGGTCACCCGCTCGACTTGGTGATCACCCGGGGCCTCAGCGTCTCGGATGTCACCATCACTGACAAGGTCATCTCTGACCATCATTTCATCTCCCTCAACTCCCATATTGCTCTCCCCACTGCCTCCAAACCTACCACCATCTTCTACCGCCCGTGGAAAAGATCTTCCCGCAATCCCTCTCCGCTGCCCTGGAGTCCTCTGAACTCCTCTGGCCATCGTTCTCGCTCCCACCCACTCGCTGCACTCACTCTTCTCCACAGCACCCTCTCCACCACACTCAATGCCCTTGCCTCCCTCACCTCCCAAACTGCCTCCTATTCCCGATCCTCACCCTGGTTCACCAGCCACCTCCGCTTGCTTAAGGGCCAGATGCGGTCTGCCGCATGCACTTGGCTCAAATCCAGCCTAACAGTTCACCACCACATCTGGCTGGACCTCATCAAGACCTACCGCTCCACTCTCGCCTCAGCCAAATTGTCCTCTATTCCAGGTTAATCCTGGAGGCACCACTAACCGGCTCCTCCGCCCTCCCCGCCACGCTTCGCAGATTCTTTCCTCTGACTCTCACTGCGAGAAAATGCTGGATTTCCTCGAGTCTAAAAATCGAGGGAATCCGCTCAGCTGCCACTGCCTTCCCAAATCCCACTCCCTCCCTACCCCACACTCCAACAATTACCCATCCTTCCTTCCACACCTATGAACCTCCTCTGTCTTCACCACCATATCCTCCATGAAGCCCACCACCTGCTCCCTTGATCCCATCCCCACCCCTCTCCTTAAATCCCAGCTCCACCTCCTTGCCCCACTACTCGCCGACATCATTAACCTCTCCCTGTCATCTGGCACTGTTCCTTTCCCCCTCAAAACAGCCATTATCACCCCCATCTTGAAGAAACCTTTCCTTGAACCCATCACAGCTATCCAGCTACAGGCCCATCTCAAACCTCCCTTTCCTATCCAAGATCCTTGAGAGAGCCATTGCCTCCCAGCTTCGCTCTTTCCTCTCCTCCCACTCCCTCCATGAACCTCTCCAATCGGGTTTCTGTGCTGCCTACAGCACAGAAACCGCTCTGGTCAAGGTCACAAACGACATCCTGNACCATGTGCGACCAGGGCTCCCTCTGCCGTCTCGTCCTCTTTCCGCTGCCTTTGACACCGTGGACTATTCAATCCTCCTCCACAGTCTCTCCTTCCACCTCAACCTTCAAGGTTCTCTCCTTGACTGGTTCAGGTCCTACCTTTCACACTGACTTCACTTCGTCGCAGCAAACGGCTTCTCCTCCAGCCCCTGTACCATCTCGTGCGGTGTTCCTCAGAGCTCTGTCCTCGGTCCCTCCTCTTCACCCTCTATATGCTCTCCGTTGGTGACATCATCCGCAGACATGGGGTAAATTTCCACATGTATGCGGATGACACCCAACTCTACCTCTCTGCCTCCACCCTGAACTCCAGGACTACCGGCATCCTGACCGACTGCCTGTCCGACATCAAGTCCTGCACGAGGGACAACTTTCTCCAACTCAACGTCAGCAAGACTGAGGCCCTCCTGATTGGCTCGCACCAGCACCTCCGTACCTCGGGCGCTGACAGCATCAGCCTTCACGGCTGCACACTCAAACTCACTAAGCCAGTCAGGAATCTGGGTGTCTTGACTCTGAACTGTCCTTTCTCCCCCACATCCGCACCATGACCGGCACTGCCTACCACCACCTCCTCAACACTGCCAGCCTCCGCCACTGCCTTACCCCTCAGGCTGCCGAAACCCTTATCCATGCATTCTTCACATCAAGGCTCAATTACGGAAACTCCCTCCTCATCGGCCTTCCCAACTCTTCCCTTCACAAGATGCAGATCATCCAAAACTCGGCAGCTCATGTACTCTCGCGCAACAGACTCCATGACCCCATCACTCCCCCCTCGCCCGACTTCAAGATCCTCGTCCTTACCTTTAAGGCCATCCATGGCCTTGCCCCCTTCTACCTCTCTGACCTGCTGACTCCCTACCAACCTGCCGGCTCCCTCCGTTCAGCAGACTCCGGTCTGCTCCATGTCTCCCGCCCGACCCACCCTACCATCAGTAGTTGGGATTTCAGCCTCTCTGCCTCCGCTCTGGAATTCCATCCCACTGTCCCTTCACTCACTTCCTCTCTTGCCTCCTTCAAGGCCGGTCTCAAGACCCTTCTCTTCGATCGTGCCTTTGGTCGCCCTCCCACCTCTCTGCTTTCCCTCACCCCTACACCACCACTCCCCAATACTCGGGTCCTAACACCTCATTGTTCAGCGTTTTGGGATGTCCTCCCGACGTGAAAGGCGCTCTATAAATGTAATTTTGTTGTTGTTGTACTCCTCATTCCAATTCCTGTGAGTTCATGTTAGTCAATGTCTGTTAGGAATTTATACCAGAAGTTAGCTTAGCTTTTATGGCTGATACTCATAAGATGCAAAGCCAGGACAGAAACTTAAAACATTTTAATGATTGTGCATTGTGAACATAGATATTTGCTAACATTTCTCTGGAAGATCTATGCTGAATTGATGATTACACTTTTTTAAAAAAATAACGACCTGTCATTTTCCCTTTTTAAATATCATGCTTCACAGAATATATTATAAAGTGGATTGACTGTGTATGTGGGCAAAATTTCATGTTGTAGAAATTGACACAAACATAGGTTTTGCACAAAAGTAAATGTTCATGTATTTTCTGCACATCAATGCTATTCACTGCAAGATAAGAATGGGAGCAGCCAAATGGACCATAATGGTCTTATTGAGTCCTATGTAAGAAATGGATTGACAAGGTAATGCTTAAGTAAATATTTTAAAAATCTACACTATTCTTATTTCCCAGACTCTTCCAATTGAATTATTACAAAAAGCTATTGAATTTCCTCTTGAATTTGCCGATACAATCTGCCTCCATCACCTTCCTGGATAGTCAGTTCATATATTCAGCATTCTCTATGTAAAATAAGTGCATCTGAACTATCTTCTACAATTTCATACAAAAACACAGATAATACAGCGGTGCATTACTCCAGCTCTCAGCAGGGTAAAATATATATAAATAATTCTTGCATTGATATAGTTCCTAATATCAAAATGCCTTAAAGCATGTCAGAGTTTTCTGTAAGTGTAGTGACTATGCATTTGGTAGGCAAACTTATCACACTGTTGACACATCTCAAAGCGCTTCACAGAATATATTGTAAAGTGGATTGGCTGTCTATTTGTGGGAGAAATTGTATCTTGTAGAAATGGACACAAACTAACATTTTACTCAAAAATGTTCATTTATTTTCTGCACTTCAATGCTGTTCACTGCAAGGTAAGAATGGCACTAGCCAAATGGAACACAATGGTTTTTTTGGGTCCCACATAGGATATGGATTGAAATGTAACATCAAGATGATTCTTTAATAAAATTTAAATGCACACAGCAATGAACCACACACATCCATGACCATTTTTTTTTAATCTGGTAGACTGTGGCCACTGAGAGAAACACCCTTCCCTTTTTGATGCTGCAAGGAATCACAATGCAGTGATAGGATAAGAAAATACAGCGTAAGGAAATACATACCAAAACCATAAATCAGATTACTGGTAGTAACCTCAGTTATTTATAACTTTTGACAAGTGAGGTTTTCCCAGCATAAACAACCTGATGGGATTTATGAATTTGTACCATTCCAATTTTTTTTACAAAATGTTCAAAGCATTTGAAATATTTGCAACTCCGCCAAAGATTTTAAATGAGCATAACGGTAGATGAGTTCACAATTCAACTTTATTTTTATAAAATGTAGACTCATGTCCTGTGAATCTTGCTGACCACGGATGGATCTTTTACAACAACAACTTGCATTTATATAGCGCCCCTCATGCAGGATAGCATCCCAGAGCGCATGCATTCATGAAATAAATGCATGGCTACTGCTACGATATACTAATTTTCCCAATACAAATTCTTATTTGAAGATATAAAAACTGTGAGACCACCATATGCTCTTATAGAGAAAAGTATTACAGGAAAACATGCACTTCGTATCAGACTAAAGGAGCTGACACCTTTTCAATACTGAGTACTTACCTATATAGGATTTCTGTCCAAATGGCACAGGAACTGACATGCAGAAGTAGCTATCTGACTGTAAAAGAAAATGGAATAAGAAAAAAATTAAAACACTGAATAATTGTAACATTGAATGTCTGTTTAATAATTAGGCATACATATGACTTCACTTAGGTTAGAAGTTTCCCAACAAAAGTTGAGCAACTTAATGCATTGCTATATCCCGATATGCAAACGTATGGTTCACAATTTATAAAATGGTGAGCTCATAATTTTCCCCAGATTGTCAGATAGAAGTGGCGAGAGATGCACTTTGACAGAAAGAGAATTTTGTTGTAAAAAAAAGTCCAAGTCAATCTGCCACTAAATGATTACAGAACTCTGGAAGAGATTCAGGAGCTACATAAGCACTGGATGGCCAAATGAAACACACAAAGATACTGAGATTGAGTATCTGAGATCAAGACTGAGATTGATAGATTTCTAAAGGATAGAGAGATTAACGGATATGGGGATAAGGCGGACAGATGGAGTTAGCTTAGAAGATCAGCCATGATCTTATTGAATGGCGGGGCAGGCTCGAGGGACCGAATGGCCTACTCCTGCTCCTAATTCCGATGTTCTTATGTTCCTATACCAGAAATCAAGTCACTCGCTAGTAGAACAAGGAAATATAAATAGATTCAAAAACAAACTAGACAAGTCCTTTGAAGTTAAAAGGATTCAGGGTTGTGATTTGATGATTGATTGTTGAAGGAATCTTTTGGGAAATGTACCAATGACCTACGCTTGCCTGAAAAGATTACTGTGCTACCAGCTGCTGTGTGATTTTCATGGAACAAAGCCAAAATTATAAGATCATGTGAGGAAATATCAGATAAGACATTTCCTTTAACTTAGAGACGGTCTCCACAAATCACATTTGTAATTTTTTTCCTCAGCCAAAAAATCATCTGCCAGACTGAAGCAGTACATGCAGAGATGGATCAGCGATGACAACAATAGAACTGATCTGACCTGTCACTACACTCACTGCACTGTGCTCCCACGTGTACACACGTTTACTTTTCATCATGTTGGCAAATTAGAAGTTTTACTGCAGATGGGTAACCTTTTGTATCTTAAATGTTCAGCTTTGGTTATTCAATTTGACTCACATTTATCTTAAAAACCGAAAGCAACAAGCTTTATAAACTTTTGCAAAACCGAGCAGCTTTGATAATCTTGTGATCCTACTCTGAGCCATTACTGCAAATAAATAAAATGGCCAATTGGGTGTCAATTAATGTCAGATTAGAAGCAGGCTTTGTCCTTTTTTTCTCCCACACCCAATAACTGTATATTAATAATCCCTCCAAAAATACAAAACAATAATAAATTGGTCATTTTTAATCTATATGACTGTTTGTGGGACATTGCTGTGCGCAATTGGCTGCTGCGTTCGCCCACAAATATAGTCAATTCACTTTACAGTGTGTTCTGTGAAGCGCTTTGGGATGTCCTCCTGACGTGAAAAGCGCTATATCAAATGCAAGGATTATTATTATTATAACTGGGGCGAGACTGATCAAAATTATTTCAAGAGAATTTTTAAAGCCAGAAAAGTTAATGTCGCGGAGGCCAAAACAACACATTAATAGGGGCCTGAGGTGGATGTGAAAACAGTGCAAATAACAGGGTATTAGACAAAATACAATCTGCAGTACTTCTTTTCCAATCTTGCATAAATTGAATTTTTTTTTGGTAAACTGACTATCTTGATGCAAACAGAAACCTCTCACCATACTTAAGAACACCAAATCAGACTGTAATTGTTGAGACTTGGGCACTGAAAGAAACTTCCTTCTGTTTTCGAATAATGCCATGGCACGTTTAACATCCACCAAAACAGGCAACAGGAACTCAGTTTAACATCTCCTAGAAAGGACGGCACCTCCGGAACTATTAGCTTAGGCTGTGAGCTCAAAATCCAAACATGGGACTTGAGCCCAGAACCTTCTATTTGTTCAAGCTTTGGTTCACAGATTTAATAGGAGTCAATTGGGACGAGTCCCTTCCAAGTTTTGCCGACTAGCCGGCTTGACATCAGCAGTGCCCTGCAGTTCTGCGGAGCCGCCTGGCTCATAACCGGACAACTGAGAATGTTACTTGATTCTGACATTTCGCTGCCAAGCACAACATCTCAGCTCCAAGGAGATTCTTTGTACCTCTGCCTCCCAAGGAGCATAGTCAATAGACTTTTTATTTTTCTGACAAGTACAGGTTTGAGGCCTCACTAGATAGATAGCAAGTACCAGGAACTTGCTGCAAGTTTTCTGTTGAGGAACTCAGCTCAGCATGCAATGTATGAAGGCACTGCCAACATCCTCCTGCTGACAGCTTGGACATACACATCACCCATGAGCTTGAACATCAGCTGCTTACCTCTCTGCATACCAATCAAGCCCTGGATATAGGAACGTGCATTCATGAAAGGCCCTTCCAATAGATGTTGTCCCAAGTTTCAGAATAGCCAATACAAGTACAATAAGTGAGCCAGTTCAAATGTGTAACTGACTTGCTTAGTGCTACCCATCGACAGGACAAAGTAAAAAAGGTGTTTACAGGCATGGCAAAAATCTAGTTTTTCAAAATTGATCAAATTCAGTGCAGCCTATTTAGAAAAGTTATTTCCAGTGAATACAACTGTATTTCCAATATCTGAATTCAGCATTATTGTAACGTTTAAACACCTCGCACACCAGGAAGAATTACATGTTTAATGTAATCAGATGGTTAATGAATGAGGCCTTCTGAGAAGTTAACTCATGCTCCATGGCTACTAGGGAACAAGCTCCTATCAATCAATGAAGCCAACTGAAAACCATCCCTCCAATCAATGAATGTATCCACCAGCTGTTGAGAAGTACTGGTTTAACTATCGTGTAATACCATTTAGATTATACAGCCTTCATTAGACGCTAAATTTGTTTTATAAAGACTTACAATAAAAGCTCCCAATGTAGAATTATTAGACAATGCTACTGGGAAATTGCTGTATTTGCTTAAATTGCAGTCCAGCTTCTGTGCAGCTCCATTCATAATGGATTTTTAGCTTGATAAATTAGTCCTCGTGATATGCAGTGTTCAACATGCTATGTTTTCTAATCATTGAAAAAAAAATGAATGTTTACAAGTGACACCTAGCAAGATGGTTAGGCTTTTATTTTTTCCTCCCAATGTTCAACAAACATTGTCCTCAATTGAATGTATTTACCTCCGTTTCTCTTTCTGCAGAGAGAAGGAAGGGAGGGAGTTCATGGGTAATGTTTCCCCTCAGGTAGCTCACCCACCTAAGAGAACATTTAGTTTTGAGTCTCAACAGTGTATGTCACAAGCTAATCGATCGAGGAGAGAGAACGATGATGTGATGTTATAGCTAACCCCTATCCTTATTATGATTATTATTATTATTCAACATACTATGTTTTCTAATCATTGAAAAAGAAAGCTGAGTGTTTACAAGCGACACCTAGCAAGGTGGTTAGGCTTTTATTTTTTCCTCCCAATGTTTATTATTATTATTATTTGGGGATCAAATATGGGTCCTTCTCATCCAGATAATAATAAAAATAATAATCCTTACATTTAGTTTTGCGCCATCAGGAGGACGTTCCAAAGCGCTTCACAAGATATACTGTAAAATGTGGTGACCTTGTGTTTTGTGGACGGAACATGGCTGCCAGACTGCAAACAGCAACCGTCCACAAACAGCCGTGAAGTGATAAACCAAACACTTCCTGGCTGCTGGCTCAGCCATTCACCGAATAACCTCACTGAATCACCACAGAGCCATATATTAAGATTTTTAAAGAGTTTCAAGGAACCATGATTGAAACTTTCCAATACCACCAATCTTTTTTTTGTGTCAAATATTTGTCCAGATTTCTGTCAGGAATGTGGACAATTTAAAATATATTTAAAATTTAACCCAAACCCAAAATACATTTAAGAGTTCAAAGTAAATGTAACTCACGATTTCCTCACTTTCCTGCATTTCATTATGTGACAGTATTGCCTATTACATCCAAAGAGGGCCTAAAGTGTCGTGAATATTTTCTGCAGCAGTCTCAGGCACTTTCAAGACCGAACATTCCAATACTGGGGATATTCATTAAATACATATAATTAGAAATAACAACCATGTGCATTTATCTTTTCAAGAGCCTCCTCTTTGACCGTGCTTTCGATCTCCCTGCTTCCCCCCCCGCCCTGACCCTCAGCTCGGGTATGTAACTCTGTCTGTCCAGCACCTTGGGACGTCCTCCTGACATGAAAGGTGCTATACAAGTATAATTTTGTTGTTGCTGCTGTTGAAGAGCTTTAAAATCTATGTTTTAAAGCAACACCCCTCCAATTCCACTGGTCTGTGAAATGAGAGCTGAGCCATATCTACAGAGCAGAAACTGACTTCACAATTCACAAGATAGCTAGTCTTAAATGAGTGCTTGCTACAGCACAGAAAGGCACACAGCGTGTAAGAAATAAATGTTATGATGCAGAGGTTTCTTTATTTTCTGGCAGCTCATTGCAGTGTAGTACAGATACAACGTACTGGCAAGCTGTACAGATGGGAGTCCACTTGCCAAATGTGAAAAATTACTTAAAGATCACTGCAGCAAACCAAGGCTGACAAAAACAGCCTTGGTTTGCATTCCAACAAATCTGCAAGCAGTGAACATTGGATTAAATCTTTTTTGTTACCCTCTAAGTAAAGAAAAACTTCCTGTATCTATCCTGAAATTGCCCTTTACAACTCTAAGCGTTCCGAGATGCTACCCTGCATGAAGGGCACTATATAAACGCAAGTTGTTGTTGTAAACTTTAGGTCCTTCTGTCTGGTGAATAATTTGTCATTTGAGCTTTCATTATGATGATATTCTTTGCTATTAAATTCAAAGTGGTGGTTACAAACAACACAAAGTAAAAAAACAATTTAACACTTTTTTGGCACTCGACTAGAATGAATTTTTGATGTCCTGAATAAATCTCTAGAAGTCTTATCAGGTTTAATGGACAAAACTGATAGGGATAAGA